TTATTTTGTGTTGCAACAGATATTTACTAGTTGTGAGAATTTTATTAAATAGACATTTAAGCAGTACAATCCTGAAAAAGAATGTTTGGGCCCTCTTTATCTCTCAGAGTCATTAGAAGCAAAGCTTATGCTTCTTATGCATAAGAGTAAGAGTAGATAACAAAATATCCTATTTGAATGATACAGAAACAAACTTGTACACTACCAGATAGAATGGAATTCAAGGTCAGATATTTTATATAAGAAAATTTGGTGATGATTGAAGAGGTGTCAAAATCACTTGGGGTGGGGGGGAAGAGACTGATTACTTAGCAATGTTATTGGGAAAACTGGCTCACTATATAAAGAAACAAAATCCTTATCTCATGTGATATAAAAATAAACTTCATGTGGATCTAAGAGGTGAATTTGAAATATTTAATTGGAAAAAATGTAACAAGTCTAAGTAAAAATGTCTTTATGACCTTATTATTGATTTCGATTTCTTAAACAAGGTTTTAAAAGTGCCAACAATAAGGATAAGAATTGACAAATATTACTACCTCAAAACTAGAGGATAGCCCAGACAAGCTAGCAGATGACAGACAGGGAGAAGCTACTTGCAGCATTTTCACTGAGAAGGATTAATATTTAGATTATTCAGATAAGTCTTACAGATAGCAAAAGTCAGAAAGTCGGGAGAGCCAATAGAATATTTTTAAAAGAACAAAAGGGAAAGGAAATTCAAAAGAGGGGAAAACAGAAAGTCTGAGAAGAATGTGAAGTGATACTCAACCTCATTAGTTGCTGATACACATGATAAAACAGCAGTTTATACCCATAGCATTAGTAAAGATGACAAATTTCCATCAAGTGGAACCATAGGAAATTGCATATACACCCCATTTTGAAGGAGTTTCAATAGTATTTAATGAAATTTAGTATGTACATACTTTATGATCCAGCAATTCTACTTTGGGGCATATAAGCCAGAAAATTCTTACACAGCTTTACAAAATGAAGTGCATGATAATGTTCATCTTGGGAAAGCAAAGAATAGGAGTCTATCTACATATCCATCAGTAAAGCAATTGATAAATAAAATGTGGAACATGTTTGTGAAGGATTATTATGCAGTGATCAAAAGGAGTGAACTAGGTGTACAGACAACCACATGAATAAATTCCAAATGTTTCAAAAGGAAGAAAGAGCCTGAGATTTATTGTACATACCATATATATCCATATAATACATAATATCTTAAACTTATAGAAATATACAAATATATAAACATTGGAAGAAGAGAAGAAAGAACAAATGTAGGAAAGAAGATGTGTGTTTCTACATAGGAGTGCAGACAGAAGTGTGAGCTATACCAATGTCAATGATAAGACATTGTTTAAATTGATTGCAGCATTATAGAGTTGATTTAGTATTGATCAGATGAAGTTGGTTTAAAAAAACACATTATTTCTCTATTCTCTCAATAAGATCAATTTCCCATACTCCATGAAAGCTAAAAATTTGCTTGTCATTTTAAGACATAACAATATCCTTGAGAATTTACCTTTTTAATAAGGGTGGTATACATTATGTACACCAACACTTCCACTGAAAAAAATAGCTAATAAAACACTAATATATGTCAGGTCACAGTTAATGTTTAAAGGTAACTCAGAAAGAGAAAATCAGCCCCAAATCCACTTTTTTCCTTGGGAACAATTGGAATTCTGGGATATGTGAACCTCTATTTTGATGGTGTATATGGGGGAGGAAATCAAAGCCTGACAAACTGAGAAGCTGATAGAAAACCCTCACTTTAATAAATACGGAATCCTCAGAATGACACCTTTATGGTAGTATTAAACTGGAAATGGATGAGCCCTTGTATGCAATTTCAGCCTTGAACTTGAGTTTTAGCGTTGAACTTGATTTAAGGTGGTCATTGACAAATAGCGCTCCCAGATCCTGATAGAACCAAATGCAGACCTTCTATGAAAGAAGGTTTATTCATCTTAATCCTAGAATTATTCATATAAATAATTTTTATGTTCTTAACTTGAACATAAATATAACTGCACGCACAAGGAAACATGACACCATGAGTGAGAGCCAGCAGAAAACATAAAACACTTGCAAACACACATAAACTTGCAAACACTTCAAATATTTTGATTATCAGAAACAGTCTATGAGAAGCTAACAACTTTAACTGAAATAAAAGTTACACCTGAAAATGTACAGGGAACAAGAAACAATAAAATGTGAAAGATTAGGAAAGAACCAAATAGAGCTCCTAGAACTGAAAAATATGATAATCAAAATTTTAAACTGAATAAAAGGTTTAATAGAAAACTAGATGCAGTGAAATAAAGAATTTGTGGAGTGAAAGATAGGTCAGACTATAACTTATCCCACATATAGCTCAGAGGGTTAATAAGGTGGAAAATATGGAGGATGTGGTTAGAAATGCAGAACAGAGTAAAAAAGTTTAACATATATTTAACCAGAATTGCAGGAGAGATGAGAAAGAATAATGGCTGGGAATTGTCCAGAATTGATGAAAACCTTAATGCACAGATTCAATAGACCCAAGTAAACCTAACAGGATAAATGAAAGATAACCATACCTGGAAACACCATTGTGAAATTTCAGAAAGACAAGACAAATTTCAAAAGACTTTTCTTTTTAAAGAAAAGTCATAGGAAAAAGACACTTAATCTTTAAACACATGACAGACTGAAAGCTATGTTCCATGTTGACAATTTCTCAACAGTATTAATGGAAACTAAAAGAAAGATACCTTCCAAGTGCTGAAAGAAATCAGTAAACCTTCCTGCCTAAATAGTCTCTGCATATGAGTCATCAAATGAGAGAATCAAATCAACTGGATGTCAGTTGGTTTTAAATTAATTAAGGTCATGGGAAAGAAGTGGTATAAAGCTATTTTTCAAATATAACTTTATAGTTTTACTCTGTCCCTCCCTTGCCACAGTTCTGAGTCCAGGAGTTTGACCTACTCTATTTCTAGCCTTCTTCATCCCTAGTGACATCTAATTTTACCTTAGTCTAGTAGATCTATATGACCATGGCCAATTTCTAAAGATGGTAGTCTTTTAGAGCTGCACCTCTGAAATCACAAATTCAAATGTACTTCTCTCAATCTACAACTTACATTCTTTCTCAAAGGGCTTCAATCACCACTCATACCAATAAATCCCACATTTGTCTCTGCAGCCCAAACCTCTTTCCTCAACTTAATTTATATAATGTAAGATCATTTATGTTAACAGTTTATATGGATACTCTATGGACACCTCAATCTCAACATGTTTTAAATTAAAACTTTCTATTCCTCAAAACTAAACGTCTTCTCCAGCTCTAAACATGTTCCTCTTTTCTCCTCTTCCTGTGTTTACTCTACCAGTTAATAGCGCTAACACTCTCCCAGTTCCCTAAGCCTGAAAAAAAGTACATTGACTTTTACTCCTTCCTATTCTACTCTGTGTCTAATCACCATATCCTGTATATTTTATCTTTATCATTCTAATACAACTCTATAACTGCATTTCTAGGTGACAGCAATATTATCTCTTACCTGTATTAATGGAACAACTTCTAATCCATCCCTTGCCTCTAGTCTCAACTCCTCTGTGATTTATCTTCAACTCTGAAACAGGATGATCTTCTTGAAAGATAAGAACACGGTCATGTCACTTTTCTATTTAAAACACTTTAATAATCTTGCATTTCTATTAATGTAGATTCCAAATGACTTGGCATGGCTTACAAAATACTTGTTGATCTTTCCAATCTCAGCTCTCACCATTTCTCTCCTCTTACTCTATGGCTCAGCCATACTGATCCTATTTCAGTTCTTCCAAAATACTTCTTTCATTTTTGGATTTGCACAATCATGTTTTTAGTTTGCTGGAAATTTTACCCCACACCCAATTTTTGTTTGGATTACTCAAACTCGTTTTTCATGTATCAAATTAGAATTAACTTTTTCCGGAAAAGTCTTTCCTCTACTTCAAATCCTGGTTAGATGACCCTTGTCTATGCTCTTATATTAGCATGAACTTTTGCTATCATGGCATTCATTATGCTCTATTTTAAATGTGTGACCACTTTTCTGCCTCCATCTTTCAGGACAGAAACTATGTCTGTCTGTTTACCACTCTATCCCTAACACAAAGTGTATGCTCAATAAATATTTGCTGAAAAAATTAATGAATGGATGATAATATACTTAGAATTATGTCTCTGGAAGTCCTGGGTCTACAAAACAGAATTCAGTTCCACAACTAAACTGGGTTCTAGTTTGTTCAACTTTTTAAAAATGTCGACAGAAACTGGACATGTCTTACATTATTCACTACTGTTGAGCACTTACTTTCGACTACACTTATGGAGTATCCCTAAATAAACAGTACCATTTACTCAGCCTGAAATGTCCAGCCTCCCCAAAACAATTATTTGTACATACCAGTTCAGTTTTAAATACATGACATTATCTTTATTGTCTTTTCAAAGCATATTTGCTGATATCTAAAGAAGACTAAGATCTTTGGTTCCCATTTCCAATTTTCCTGGGAACCTCTTGCTCACTAAGTCAATTACATAAAAAGGTCCTCTTAACTATTTTTAGTTGTTTTAGTTGTTTAGTTGTGTTGTCTTCACAGAGATTGCATATCTTATTTGAGGTTGGGACTATATCTTAAATATGCTTTTTATAGCCACCACAGCTCTAGAGATTGTGGTTTATTGTGTTAAAGACTGAATAGTAACAGCATCACAAGAACAAAACTGAGAAAAGAAAATAGGAATATAGGAGAAAGTATAATTCAGAGTCATCAACAAACACGCAAGATAAATTAATATTTTGTCTCAAACTTATTTGGCTTTGTTTAAAACCTGAGACTCCGCAGAGTCGCGTGGTGGCGCTGCAGGATAAGATGGGGAAATTTTTGTACCATCAGATGCTCTGGTTACCGTGAACCACTGGAACTGAGAGCTCCAGAGAAGCAGTGGTGATAAAAAAGAGGCTTTCAAGAGAAAGCTAGGGAGCCAACAACGCCCTCGTCACCGAATTGCAAGTCTATAGATTCTCAATGGTCCAGGCTAATAGCTGAGAGGAGCAGTTTGAGACTGAATTGAAATATTTCCGCGGAAAGACGTTCGGCTAGGGAGCCAGGGAGCCAGGGAGCCATGGAGCCGGGAGAAAGAAGCCCTCAGCAGATAAGGCAAGCGCTGCTTTTCTTTGTTTTCCTGGGAGGGTCTTTGGTGTGTTCAGGGACCTGGCGCTATTCTGTGGCAGAGGAAATGGAGATCGGCTCTTTTATAGGCAACGTGGTGAAAGACATAGGTTTGGGCGTGGAAGACCTGGCTGCGCGGGGGGCCAGAGTCATCTTTGATGACTATAAACCATACTTGCAATTGGATCGGCAGACTGGCAACTTGATCTTAAATGAGAAACTGGACCGGGAGGCGCTTTGCGATCTCACCGAGCCATGCATATTAAATTTCCAGATATTATTAGAAAATCCTTTGCAATTTTTTCGAGCTGAGCTTAGGGTCAAAGACATAAATGATCACACTCCCACGTTTCTAGACAAACATATACTTCTGAAAATCTCAGAAAGTACTACTCCAGGAACCTCATTCCAAATGGATAGCGCTCAGGACTTGGATGTAGGAAAGAATGCTGTTCAAAACTACACATTAAGCCCCAATCCTCATTTCCACCTTAAACTGCAAGACAGTGAGGAGGGTAGAAAATACGCAGAGCTGTTGCTGGACCAACCTCTGGATCGAGAAAAGGAGCCTGAACTTAGATTAACACTAACAGCCCTGGATGGTGGGTCTCCGCCCAGGTCTGCAACTGCACTGGTGCGTGTGTTGGTCTCAGATATCAATGACAATGCCCCAGAGTTTGAGAGGTCTGTCTATGAGGTTTTGGTACCAGAAAACAGCCCTCTGGACTCCTTGGTCGTCAAGGTGTCTGCTACAGATTCAGATGCAGGACTAAATGGAGAACTATCTTATTCATTTTCCCACGCCTCCAGAGACATACGGAAAACATTTGAAATCCATCCCATTTCTGGCGAAGTCCGTTTAAAAGCACTTCTGGATTTCGAGTTAATTAAGTCTTATACAATAAATATTCAGGCCATTGACGGTGGGGGCCTTTCAGGAAAATCAGCAATTTTAGTTAGTGTTGTAGATGTGAATGACAACCCACCAGAAATAGTCATAACATCTCTTACCAGCCCCATACCGGAAAATTCGTCACCTGACATGGTAGTCGCTGTTTTTAGCCTACGAGACCAAGACTCTGGGGACAACGGGAGGATGGTTTGCTCAATTCAGGACAATCTCCCCTTTCTCTTGAAGCCTACCTTCAAAAATTTCTACACCCTGGTAACAGAGAGCGCTCTGGACAGAGAGAAAAGAGCCGAGTACAACATCACCATCACCGTCACTGACATGGGAACCCC